TTTCTACAATCAGGGAACGTTTCGTGAGAACAAAATAGCGCTTGGATTTGGAAAACGCAGCTGAGATCTGATCCAAGACAGGATGCTGAGGGGAATTAAAATAAAAATCCTTTAATTAAAAACACTGAAGGGAAGAGACTCGGGTTCCAGCGAGATGGCTTGTGTGTGCTTGCCAGACAGAACAGACAAAAGAAGCTTTCTGTGTGTCCTATTTCGCAAACAGAGATCCAGGAGGTCGAGGGCTGGGAGCGGGGGAAACACGTTCACCGTCGACAGGAACAGGTCGAGCCCGGGGCGCCGTCTTGACCCTGAGAGAGTGTCTCGTTTCCTGTCGGTTGTGTGAGGGAGGTCAGAGGTCACTAACATCTCATGTGCATCGCCTATAGGAACAGTTCATGTGCGAATATTGTCATTATCGACTCTCCCTCAAGTTGCAAAGCCTTAAATATCACATATTATCATATAAAGACCCCATTTATACTGTGAGAAATTTATATATTAAATATGTGTAAAATATTATTTGGAAAATATTTAGTTTCTATTTTTATGGACGTTTCCTTTCATCCTAAAAAACAACACAATGCATACTGGTAAAACATCTGTGAAAAAATAAGACGGAAAATTCCTTCACCTTAACTCAGCATATTGGGCCCTATTATTATTTTTGTATGTCAAGTCAAGTCATTTTCATTTATATAGCGCTTTTAACAATGGATTGTTTCAAAGCAGCTTTACAGAGATAAACATATCATTTAAGGTAACAGATTGTTTTGGCGTTATAGCGGTTCTTGAATAATGTTACCTCCAGCCAAAGCCAACTTTGACCGATTCACCTCCGTCGAAATGATCAGACTTTAAACGCGAACCTGTGATTAACGCTGACGGCGTTCACATTCTCATTCAGAATTCTATAGTTATGTGCTTTTTAAAATATGTGCGCAGGTTTGTAATTCATACAACCCAGCCTAAACAAACTACTTTTCTTGCCTATAAATTTTGATACAGAATTTTGTTTTATTTTATCACTTCGGGGTACGCGAGCCGGAATTCACAACGCTTTATCTGTAGAGTGGGAAAGTGATCCTCCATAGGGAGAGGATAGTGGATACTTCAGCACTGCATTGTCATCGGGTCCAGGCAAAGCTCCCTCGTCAGATCTGGACACGGCCTGGATCCGGCAGGCTGCGGGAAAACCTCGGGATAAACAAAGACACTAATATTAGCGTAGATGCCATTCTTCTTATGATGTAGCGAGTACATCAAGATTTAAGGGAAGTGTTCCCAGTTCCGGCTGACCTAATCTATGCAGCCTAACATTGAATTTATAGAAGTCTATAATGTATTATGTGTATGCTAGGTCAAAGAGATGTGTTTTTAGTCTAGCTTTGAACTGACAGAGTGTGTCTGCTTCCCGGACAATGGTAGGAAGACTGTTCCAAAGTTTTGGTGCTAAATAGGAAAAGGATCTCCCGCCTGCAGTCGATTTAGATATTCTAGGTATTATCAACTGGCCGGAATTTTGAGATCTCAATAGACGTGAAGGACTATAATGCGTTAAGAGCTCGCTCAAGTACTGCGGAGCTAAACCATTTAGTGCTTTGTAGGTAATCAACAATATTTTAAAATTTATACGATGTTTAATAGGGAGCCAATGCAGTGTTGACAGAACCGGGCTAATATGGTCATATTTCCTGGTTCTGGTAAGAACTCGAGCTGCGGCGTTTTGAACTAGCTGTAGTTTGTTTATTAAGCGTGCAGGGCAACCACCCAGTAGAGCATTACAATAATCTAGCCTTGAGGTCATGAACGCATGGACTAATTGTTCCGCATTTCCCAATGAGAGCATATGGCGTATTTTAGATATATTTTTAAGATGGAAAAATGCAGTTTTACAGATACTAGACACGTGGCTTTCAAAAGAAAGGTTGGTATCAAATAGCACACCCAGGTTCCTAACCGACGACGAAGACTTGACAGAGCAGCCATTAAGTGTTAGACAGTATTCTGGGTTATTACGTGTGGAAGTTTTTTGTCCAATAATTAGAATCTCTGTCTTTTCAGAATTTAGTAGTAGGAAATTACTAGTCATCCAATTTTTTATATCAGCTATGCATTCCGTTAATTTTGTGAATTGGTAAGTTTCGTTCGGTTTTGAAGAAATATACAGCTGAGTATCATCGGCATAACAGTGAAAGCTAACTCCATGTTTCCTAATGATATCTCCTAATGGTAGCATGTACAGAGTGAACAGCAGCGGTCCTAGTACTGAGCCTTGTGGTACGCCATACTGAACTTGTGATCGATAAGACATCTCTTCATTTACTGCTACAAACTGATAACGGTCAGTTAAGTATGATTTAAACCATGCTAATGCAATTCCACTAATGCCAACATAGTTTTCTAGTCTATTTAAAAGAATGTTGTGGTCAATGGTGTCAAATGCAGCACTAAGATCGAGTAACACTAATAGAGAGATACAACCACGATCGGATGATGAGAGCAAATCATTTGTGACTCTAATGAGAGCGGTCTCAGTGCTATGGTACGGTCTAAATCCGGACTGAAAATCCTCGCAGATATCATTTCTTTCTAGAAAGGAACATAGTTGTGAAGATACTGCTTTTTCTAATATCTTTGACAGAAAAGGCAGATTCGAGATCGGCCTGTAATTGACTAATTCTGTAGGATCAAGTTGTGGTTTTTTAACAAGCGGTTTTATCATAGCCAGTTTAAAGGTTTTTTTGAGTTTAAAGATATGTACAGGTGTTGGACAATGAAACTAAAACACCTGGTTTTACAACATAATAATGTATTAGTATGGTGTAGGGCCTCATTTTGCATCCAAATAAAGCATCGGTTCATCTTGGGAATGACAGATAGAAGTCCTTCACAGTCAGAGGGATTATGAGCCGTTCCTCTTCCAGAACAGTATCAGGTCACTATATGATGCTGGTGGAGGAAAACGTTTTCTGACTCGCTTCTCCAAAACACCTCAATAATATTCAGATCTGGTGACTGTGCAGACCATGGGAGATGTTAAACGTCACTCTCATCTTCCTCAAACCCTTCTGTCACAAGTCTTGCTGTGTGTGTTGGTGCATGATCATGCTGATACACGGTTTGAACATCAGGTGCTCATGATCCTCCAGAAGGGTTCGGTAGTCCTCGGCAGTGACGTGTCCATCAAACACAGTCAGGATTGTCATGATATTGCAGCTCAAACCATCACTGATCCACCCGTGCTTCACTCTAAAGATTGGCCACCAGGCAGATATGAAACCTCCAACATTGGCCAGTGTTTCAGTTTCATTGTCCAACCCCTGTGTTACAGTATTACACTGTAAACTTAAAAAAGAAAATGTTTGTGCTGCCTTTTAAGTTTAGTCAACTTGAAATGTGAAGATCCACATCCGGTGTTAATATGTCCCAATATAAAAACCAAACCACCAACGCAGGAAGCAGTTTTGCATAATCCTGTTAATCTAATTGCTATGGCTTGTGGGTGAAGCCCACAGATACTGTACGAGACCCCGACCGAGCGTGATGTCATCTGCTTCTGCTTCTCTGCTTGCCGATCGTTCACCTTTAAGTGCTTTCCAATATGTTTGCAGATCAAAAGGCGGTTTCACTAGAGCGGCAATAATCAGCCCTCGCTGCTGGGGGCCGGTGTGTGTGTGTGTGTGTGTGTGTGTGTGTGTGTGTTGATGTGGAGGGGATATGCAAAGGGCTTCTGGCATTTCCAAAGATAGCCAGGCTGACATTTCTATTTACTTTGATGTTAATAATCCCTCACAAGTTCCCGAAAGCCAACTGATAGTGTGTGTGTGTGTGTGTGTGTGTGTGTGTATGTGTGTGTTTGTTTGTTTGTTTGTAAGAATAGGTAGAGTTTGAGGGGATGCCTTGGGGCCAAGATTTGTTCATTATTTGAGTGTGTGAATAAAATTCATGATGTTTAAATGGGTTGAATCTTTAAACACAGACCGTTTAAAAAAAATTTTGCTGTTGCATTCTTAATGTATCTTTAACACATTTACACTGTTGCTCTCTGCACCGGTGAATTAAAAAGTCTGTGAAAAGTGAAAACAAATGTTATTTCTGCTTCACATGACCAGTTATTTTAGTATCATAGTGATTTTGTTGATTTTGTCATTTTTATTAGTTTTTTTTTCAAGTCTATAGTTTTATACATTTTAATTTCAGTTTTTTGATATTATGAAAATGTTATCTCTGAATGTTTTAAAAGTACATTTTTTTAAATATAAAAAATATATCATTATCGTTGTCATTCTGCAAACATTATGGGAATGTTACTTTTGAATGTTCTCTCAACAAAAGTTCAAAACAAAATAATGAACCAGTGAGAGCCGATTTCAAAAATGTCTTGAGGCGGCATGTTTGAAAGCACGAATGAGATTCGAGAGTGATGTTAGAGGAGAGATTCAGCGATGCATTAAATTCAGTTGTACCATTATGATACTTTAATGGTGCTTTCACACCATTAAATCAATTCACTTTAACTGTTTGGAAAAGAGCACTCTGAACATTCTGCTGAATATCTTCTGTGTTCCACTGAAGAAATAAAATCACACAGGTTTGGAACAACATCTCAGAAAAAAAAGGTACGAACGCTGTCAATGGGGCTGGACCTTTTCAAAAGGTTCACTTTTGTCCCTAAAGGGTGCATATTGGTACCTTAACGGTAGCTACATGTTAGCACCTAAAATTTACATATTAGTACCTAAAAGGGACAAAAGTGTACCTTTTGAAAAGTACAGCCCCATTGACAGCGTTCGTACCTTTTTTTCTGAGATGATGACAGATGTTTCATTTTGGGTTGAACTAGTGCTTTTAATTAGTCAATAACATTATACCTTCATGTTCTGGTAATACATTGCATGTCTTATTATTTTGGTGGGAGGAATGTTTTTGTGATGCGGCTCGTAACAGATCAGTTGAACAGGAAATGGAATTGGAATGACATGCTCTGTATTCTCTTTCAGTGAGGGGTGAGAGGAAGGGCACAGGGGTGTACGGCGCGAACGAGGAGAGAGAGATTAGCACAACAGCTGGGATTTTGCAGGTGGGTGCTCACACACACACACACACACACACACACACACACACACACACACACACACACACACACACACACACAGACAGTATTCTTCACTGTAAGTTACAGGTCACAGATCAGAACTGCATTGATGCTAAATAAAGGGACAATATATAAAACTATCAGATTGTTTTTACAATCAGAATATAATATAATATAATATACTGAAGCTGATTAGTCTTGTGATGGTAATGAGGAGGTTTTGTCTTTGGAGCAGCAGAAACTGTATCCTCCACTCAAGCTCTCTTTCCCTGCGGGCTGAGGGAATGACAACCTGCTCCATTTCAGAAGCCTTGGCAGCTACACACACGCACACACACACACACACACATCACACACACACACACACACAATGATTTTTATACTGTAAACTGCAGCCTATATTCTATCCCCCTATAACCCACTCTACCCCTAAAAACTCAACACAGAAAACTTTCTGCTATTTTAGATTTTCAAAAAAGATCATTCTGTACGGAGGGACCAAAAAAAAGTAAAGAATTACTAGGCCTATTGCCATCTTTGTGGGGTCCCCATAACGGTCCCCATAACGGTCCCCATAACGGTCCCCATAACGTAGGGATTACCAGGACCACACACACACACACACACACACACACACACACACACACACACACAGAAGTAAGTGGGCCCTGCATTGTTCAGTGCAGCTGTGTTTATGGCTCTCGGGTGAATCTCCTGTTGGCGTTTAGCGCTTCATTTGACTTGTGAGGGTGTTTACACACTGCCCTGCTTTCCCCGTCGGCGCTGGCGAGAGCCGCAGACACAAAAATGAACACAATCCATGTGCTGAAAAAACTACTATTACAATACCTACTATTTAAAGGAACAGTTCACACAGAAATGAAGATTCTGTCATGATTTACTCTCCCTCATGTTGTTCATTTCTGTCTTCTGCAGAACACAAAATTAGTTGGTATAACCAAATTGTTTTGAACATTCTTCCATTTTGAACTTCTATTGTATGAGAAAAAATAGAAATTTCTCAAAATATATTCTATTATGTTGCACAGTAGAAAAAGTCATACTGGTTTGGAACGGCATAAGAGAGAGTAAATGATGACACAATTTTCATTTTTGGGTGAACTGTGCCTTTAAATGAATTATGTGAATTAAAAACTAGCACTTATTTCATAAATATCAAATGGCCTACTTACAAAATATTTGCAGTGATTTTAATGCCCCCTCCCCACCCCCCCCCCCCCCACCCCCCCCCCCCCCACACACACACACACACACACACACACATTTTTCAAAAACAGATCATTAGATTTTAATAGCATCTCTCATTTAAGCTTCAGTATCAAAAAGTTGGCATGCTTGATTCATTTTGGAGAATCAACTAAAACTTTCAGTGAATTGATTCAAAATTCTGATTCAGCAACTCTTTTGTGCCATAATTTGGTGCCAAAACATTTCACGCAATGATTTTAAGGCACCTTTAATTGCCCATTAATTATACTACATTCACTATGTTTTAATAGCATCTCTCGTTTAGACTTCAGTAGCAAATAACACTACAAATAACACTGAATCAGAGCTGTGTTTAATAAGTAAACAGTTTTTATTTGATTCATTTCAGAGACTCAATTCAAACTGTCTGTTTCAATGAATCAATTCAAATCTCTGATTCAGTACTTCGTTTGTGCCAAAAATGAAGTCTCCGCATGGTATTTATCATGTATTAAAATGTTTGATCACGCTTGTATGTTGATGTATATGGCTTTTGTTAAAATATATGAAGTGCTTGTAAAAAGACTAGTTGGTCAAGTTGTTTTAAAGGTACAAAAAACGTCTTCTCTAATAAAAAAAAAAAGTCTGTTCAGACTGTTTTAATTTTAGCTCAAGTGTAACAGTAGAAGCGAATGGGAATCCACCATGACGATGTGTGTGTATGATGGAAGAAGGATATAATGCCATTGCCCTTTGGCTACCGTAACATTTTCTTCTTTATTTCCGAAGTTCGCTATCCAACCCTCTGAATGAGCAGGTGTTTGAATGAGTATCCAGACGAGCAGGTAATGGCATGAAGCCCCTGGCCTGGGGTAAGTGAACCTGTCCATGCATGGATCCGCCGGGCCCTCTGTCAGGCGACCGGGACGGGGCCATGCTTCATTTGGGCTCTGAGAGCAGCTGTCAAACTCAGGTTACAGGATATGATTAAAGCCAGCGGAGATCTCCTCCTACTTCCCATCTTTCCACACATCCACACTGGAACATTCACCGGATCCTCCTCTTTTCTCTTAAAAGCTGGTTTCAGTTCGTTTGGGAGTGATAATTTAAAGTTTGCTGGTCTGCTGTACATTAAAACCTTGTAATATGCCTCAAGTATTTTTCTGTTCACTGCAAAAAAAAAAAAAAAAAAAATTTTCTTAAAACAAGATAAATTACTTGAGATGCAAAATTGTGTAAGATAACACTTGTTTTCAGAGTATATCTTAAATGAAACGTATATGCAACCCATATTACAATACATATAGGCCTACAGTTTGTCCATGGACCGAGCATGCAAGGATTCTGTTGTGCGTGTGTGTCGTTCGTTCCTGTTCATGCATACTGAGATAACAAGTATTTGATTCTGGGGAAATGTCCTACGTGTTCACCTTCATTTGACATGCAGCTGTCTGGAGATTTCATAAAGCAAAGCCGACGGCTGCTGAATTCCTGATGCAATATAATTCCCTACGTCTGACACTTACGTGCTGTATACAATTTGTGTAAAACAGAGAATGTGTGGGATCAGTGTCCAGTTACCCAAAGAACACCAGAAACGTCCATCCGTCCACCTTCAGTTGTTGTCCAGATGCCTAGTTACCCCTTTCAGAAGAAGTGTTCTCCAATAGTGTTCTCTCAGTGTTCGCCCAATAAGCCACAGGTTCAAAACCACTAGACTGACTCTACAAAACATTCACCATTAACACAATATTTACTTAATTCAAGTTCATTGTCATTCCAGAAAGTGTCATTTAGGTTTAACTAAAGTGGATGGATGACATGTGCATGACATAATTAAAGCCGACAGTGATTGACAGGAGTGTTTTGATGGCATGTATCCGCAGCTAAAGATCTCCACTGCAGTTCTGCTCCCTGATTCGACACGTACAGCGTTTCAGCTGAAGTTTCCCTCCCCAAACAAGCTTACGAAATCGGCCAACTGGAGTTTCAGCTGTCGCAGCGCTGGGAATCAGAGATGAATGGGAATATGAAATGCAGCACTGTGGGCCTTTAGTGTGCGCATGTATTTACTCTTGTAATTATTAATATGGGGCTGGGAGTAAATAAACTAAAGTCAGTCAGTGTGATGCAGCACAAGTTAATCTTCACAGTAAAAGGCATCTCTGAGTGTCAGAACATGCTGGGTCATACTGGATGGGATGTGTTTTCATAGCTTATGTTTGAACTTAACTAAAGAGATTGTGATTCTTTTCAGTGGCTTATTCTGATAAACCACTGTAGATACACTGCCAGGACAAAGAAAAAGAGTCTATGATTGGATCATTATTGCAGTGATTATTATTTTCTAGCATGTTATATGTTTGGCAACGGTTCTTCTAACCCTAATTGATGGAGTGTGTAGCTTTTTATTTCTTAAACAACCATTTAGGAAGACACATCATGTCCATATTCCAGGATGACAATGTCAAGATTCATCAGGCTCAGATTGTGAAAGAATGGATGGGAGGAATATGAAGAATCATTTTCACTCATGAATCGCCTCCTCTGAGTCAAGACCTTAAATTCATTAATAGTCTTTGGGATGTGCTGGAGGAGACTTTACAGAGGCTGGACTCTTGCATTATCAATACAAGATCTTGACCAAAAATGTATGCACATCTTAATGGAAATAACATCACAACGTTTATTTGTGGCCCCCAGAGGTGCCAGTTCATGAGTAAAAATGATTCTTCATGCTCCCTCCTTTTACAATTTGAGCCTGATGAATCTTGACATTGTCATCCTGGAATATGATGTGTCTACAAGGTTGTTTAAGAAATGAAAAGCTACACACTCCATCAATTAGGGTTAGAAGAACTGTTGTCAAACATATAACATGCTAGAAACATAATAATCACTGCAATAATGCTCCAATCATAGACATTTAAATCCAAACAGCGATTTTTTTTTATTTGTTGGTCATGCAATACAACTTAAAGTCAATCTGAAATTAAAATTGACCATATTAACTTAATGCCCATAGTCGTATTGTGAATTATTAATTTGTTCACATTATTCTGAAGAATTCTTTTTTTTTTTTTTTTTATTGAATTAAATCACAGAGATTCAAAGATCTGCAGTTTTCTGTTCAAACCAACCTGGTTCCAGGTCCACTGGTTTCGGTTTTTGCACATTTGCACATATGGGTTTTCTTATGAACTTATGCAACCCACATCACAATATGCATACAGTTTACCCGCACGAGATAACATGTTTGATTCTGAGGAGAAGTCCTCTATATGTTTTTAACTTTCTTTGAATTGCAGCTTCCTGGGGATTTTATATGATAAAAATGACCGCGGCTGAAAGACAATCGCACATCAAAATATTTCTGATGCAATCTAATTCTCTACGTCTGACTCTTATGTACAAAATTTTGAGTAAAACAGAGAATGTGGTAAGTTTGATCACCTTTTTCTGTTGTTCTCTGTTCCAGTTACCCAAAGAACAACAGAACTTCTATCCATCCACCTTCAGTTGTTGTGCAGATGTCGTTCCACAAGGTCTATTACAACATTATAAGGACACACTGTAATACAATTACTTCACTGTAAAAAAAATAATACTAAGAAGACAGATCTATCCTGTCTAGTTCACATCATGGGCTTGATTCCAATGCATTTGCATGAATTGATCAAATGCATCCCTTAAATGCAATGTAAGACACTTTGGATAAAAGCGTCTGCTAAATGCAGTGTCAAATGTAAATGACATTCAGTGTCACCATCTTGAAACTAAATATGGTGATTTTGCATGTTTATTCCAATTTGGTGTAAAAAATGTCTTGTCTACCTGACAGTCTGATCATAGATTATCACAGCTGATATTATTTTGTTTATATGTCACATTATAGAAGACTGCACACATTGCAATATGGGATACAGTATTCTGTGCAGTGTGCTTTGTTGCATATTGCACATATCCGACAAATTTTCCGTTTACAAAAATATGCGTTCTGTGCACAGGTATCATTTACTGCAGAAATAGTCATATATTTTGTCTTTGTCTCTGTAATAGAAATGCAGCTTGTAGGAAGAACACAAGCAAACTCTGAGCTGTGAACTGTAGTCATGGGTCTCTCCTCAGATCTACCGTTGTCTCTCTGCCCCGCAGACTTCTGGGAATGCACACGTCTTTCATCACGCCCTGTAATGACAAGCAACCATGTCGCCTGGCAAAAGATGGATGTTTTTCCATGAGGGTATGGGGAGCGAGCTTCCGGACTTTGTTTCATTGTGCCCTCCCTCTGCTCTGTAATGGAGCAGGGCTTGTGTTCTGGCCCATGTGCTGTAATCTGTGTTCTGACAGAACCGGAGACGTGGCCCGTGGGAGGATGTTGTCTCAAGTTTATTGCTACTCGCTGATGAAAACCAACTTCTGCCACCCCTAATAAGCTGAGAAATCTGTCCGCTCATTATGATGAATATCCTTGGGTAGATGCACATTTCTGTCCATGCTGTCTTCTGACTTCAGCGTAATTAGCACCCAACCGGTCATGTTAGTGATGATCTGAGAGCAGGAGTGTGTGGTGAGAGCAGGTCATTATCAAAAGAATATCCAGAGGGTTAAACTGGGGAGAGCAAGCTATGGCGAAGGGGATTTTCTCTTTCGTCTTACCACTGTGCTTCTCAAATGAATCCTTTAAGCATGAATCAAGTTTTGAATTTTATGTGGTGAAAAGTTTGCACTTTTCCCCCTATATCCTTCTTAAATTGCCCCGGTTTTCAATCAGAGGATGCATCATTAAATTTTCAACCAAACACTTACTGCTTTTCACTAAATGAACACAAATGAAGAATCATACAATCATTTTGGTTTATGCATTAATATAACAATACATAGTCAGAAATAGCAATAAATACAATCATATATTTTTTAAAGCTCCAGTCCGTAACTTTTTTAAGTTAAAAATAATCCAAAATAATTATATTAAAAAAAAACTTATTCTGCCAGTGGTCAAAACTATCTGCTTGCTAGATTCAAAACGGTTAGCTTGTAATAATGATTTTAATTCCAGTGGTACTGGTGGGTTTCCGCGGGAAATTCGAGCATGTCTTTGCGTCATGACGTCACACCCGTACACATAAAGAAGGAGTTTCGGCTAGCCGGCTATACTGCGCGTGACGAGATGTTTAGATGTATAGGCTTTTCTCGCAGCACTTTACATAATTAAACTTATGGCATCCAGAAAGATCCAAACAACAATCATCAGTGTCAACTGGAGATTCAGCAGTTATAAAACCCAAAAGACTTCGTACTTCGGATTTAAGGTGGCTAGAGAAAGAGAAAGAAACCGTCTCATGCGAACACAAGGATTTAAACATCGGCGGGGCTTTTGAAAAGTGCGTGAACTCCGTGTTTTGAAGGGGTTCAAAACGGAAGAAGAGACGGCTTTTTTCTGCTGAACAAGTAAGACATTTCAATAGTTCAATCGTGTAACAGTACGTTTTCTTAATTCACACAGTTATGGAGTTTCCTTTGTTGTGCCTTTCTCGTTTTGCTATTATGGAGAATATGAATTCTGAACTACACAGGTAGCTGCTAACCATAAAACACATTAAATTTAACATTAGTCACGCAATGCTGATGTTGTTAACATGAACAATTTGAGAACAAAGTAGGCTATAATTTGCACGGTTGCTGTAAATCACGTTGATTAAATCTAACGAAGCTTATCATGTCGAATGCTTTTTCCCCCTTAGTTGGTCAGAACAAAAATGGATTTTACTTACTTGTTTCATTTTCTTATGAAAATTCTTATGTTGGTCAAACTTTCAAAAA